AGCCTGCTGATAAAGCCAGGGAGAGATGAACGAGTGGAATTCACAATGCAAGGAAAGCTTGAGCAATCCAGAGTCCAGACTGATGGCACACAAGCACAGCAGCCCTATTGCTGTCGGCAAAAGGAAACTCACCTAAGACTGTGAAACTGTATTTAACTCAATACGAAATCATGGCTTGAAGTTTTGTGTATTTGATGTGAGGCCTGGCCAGGTTATTCTTCTCTGAGTTGCTTCTATTCTAACAGTATTTGAATATACCATGGCACGTAGATTGATTTTTCAGTGAGGTTTCTAAGGGAAAAGCAGTCTGTAAATTAGATAGGAACTGGATAAATAATGTAAATATGAGAAAGCAGGAGCTGATGAGACTCTCTATATGAAGAGGCATTTTGTGCAAGGGTGGGATCATGAGATCTCCAGAGCTGTTCTGTGTGCCTGAACTTTAGCCTTATTCTCCTGCCTGCAGGATGAGGAGACAAAGGTTAATGCTGTGAAAGAGCAGTGATCTGTGGGGGAGGTAGAAGAGGATGTAGATCAATGAGAGCCAGTGTATGCCTACAGGAAAGGAAAAGCAGAATGGAATGGAAGGAGGATGAGAGAAAGCAGAGACAAGCAGTGAAGCAGTAAAAAGAACACATAATGAAGAAGATGCATAATAGAATTATCCTGCTCTTGAACTGGCTTCTACCTTGTATATTAAGTAGCTTTGCTTCAGGGATTGTCCAGTGAGATTCGTAAGTACTCAAACAATACGTACTTAGTGGCAGTATTGGAAAACTGCTTCAGATCATGCTTCCTGTGCTACAAAATCTAGAGCGCATAAATTGACAACGGTTAAAGTCAGCAGCCAAAATATTTATGTCACTTAAAATATGAACCAAGAGTTGGGTTTTGATGTATGCGTTGGCTAAAGATTAGCCTGAATTAATTTCCATTCAAAAGATTCTGAATATGTCTGTTTCCATGTTGTGTGTGTGTCTAACATACACTGCATGATTTTTGGGGCAATGAAAAATATACTAAGGTATTATCAGTTGAGTTTCTTGCTAACCAATGAAGGGGAAATTCAAATTACAACTGCTCTACAAAGGTAATTCATGATCAAAAAATGATCTGGCACAAAGAGAGAACAGTTAAGGCTTGACTGCAGAGCCACAGAATTGTAGAGGCTTGGAAGGGACCTCCAGAGATTATTGAGTCCAACTCCCCTGCAAAGCAGGCCCCCTACAGCAGATAGGCATCCAGGCAGGTCTTGAATATCCCCAGAGAAGGAGAACCTACAATCCCCCTGGGCAGCCTGTTCCAGTGCTCCTTCACCCTCATTGTGAAGAAGTTCCTTTGCATTTTGGTGCAGAACTTCCTATGCTCCAGTTTATTGGCATTTCCCCTTGTCCTGTCCCCACAGACCATTGAAAAGAGGTTGGCCATGTCCCTTCATCTCTCATACTTAAGATATTTATAAACATTAATAGGATCCTCTGTTTTAAAATGGCTGAAAGTGTAAGTGCCAGAGACAGAACTCCAGGTAAGGGAGTGAAGTTTCCCCTTGCTTGAGGAAATGAGAAAGGCTGCAGGATTGTGCTGTAGCAATTGTGGAGTGGAGTGCTCAGGGGTCACCTTCAGTAGGGTTTTGTCACTGCATTATTCCTTAAATCTCTTTATGTTTAAGCACAACTTTGTGTTTAAATTGCCTCAAGAAGTACAGTAAAAATTCCCAACACTGATAAATACTTTTCGTCCACATTTGAAACTTTTTCCATAGAACTGGAATCTATTCTTATTCAGATGAGGTTTATGACAATGTAAATGTCCCTAAACTAAGATAAAGACTTGGCAGAATAAAGAGTCAGAAGTGTAATATTTTCTTCAAAGAAAAGAAAGAAAAATATTCATAAAGGCTAACAATTCTAGAAGCATTCATTGTTTCTGCATGCTCAGCTTGAGATACCGAGGATTCACTTAACTGAGTGTGTGTGTATCTTAAGATATGGTGTCCTGCTTTTCTTTTTATTTTTTTAATATAGAATTTCTTTTGTTGATAGAAGTGTATTCTTGGGTTTTGCTCCTCTTGCCCTCTTGCCTCTTTTTTTTTCACTTTCATCTTGATCCTTTTCTGCTTGCAGCTTTCTGCACAGAATTATCTTTCTAGTTATCTCTGGCATTATCACCGCTCCTTATGAATCATCATATGGTTTATTTTTTCAGTTGAATATATTGAACATTTTATTTTGGACAAAATTCCTTTGGACAAGTAATTCCAAAGGCTAAGTACTTTTCTGTCCTAATCTGTGCCTGAGTACAGTAGAAGGAGCCTGAGAAACAATACTCTCATTATTAAAAAAGTGGGAACCTATTGCCTACTTACAGCTCAGGAATTCTATAGTACTCCTGTGAGATGTGTGTAGGGATTTTTTTGCCTGCTGTACCTTTGAGTATTCTGTTTTCAGTATTTCTGTTTCTCTTGCTAAAAAAAGAAAAAATATATATATATTAAGCCCCAAGATGATTAGGTATCCATACGGATCTTAGACAATAGTTTTATCTTAGGGATGAGCCTGGGCATTACAGACTACAGACTACCAGGTAGCTGAAATACTGTGTTTGTGTACTTCTAATGCAAAGCCGAAATATTTTAACTTAACAATTTACCACAATTCCAGCTGTGTGTGACAGCCTGACCTGATATTTCACAAGAGCTGACAAAACAGTGTGATTGCAGTTTGAGTCTCCAAGGCTTCGGCTGTGGCTCATGTGCTCATGTTAGTTGTTTGAAAGGTTCTTTCATAGCTGTAGAGAAGCAGCACTCATCAGCAGTGCCAACTCACAGAGATACTCATTTTCAAGAGACAGGAAAACCCCGTAGTAAATAAAAAGCCATTCAACATGATGTTGTAAAATTGGTATAGTGTGTATAGTGTGTATAATATTGCGTAGCCCTAATAATAGCTCCTTTATTTAACCAGATAGCTGAGGGGAAGCTGTAGTAAATTCTGAATAGCGAAGGACAGACAACTGTCTTTTTGAAATGCTGCTCAGAAGACACTGTGTGTCACGCAATAGGATCGACAGGCTTGGAACAGGCACAGGATATGGTGTGGGATCTGTCCATTTGTTTCTTCTATCCAAGTGTTCTCACATGAAGGGCCCTGAGGACTAAGGATAAAAGCCTAACACTATATCTGTTCTATGTGCCTTAGCATGTTGCCAGCTTTGTAAAATTACATAGTTGTGGTGGAAGGAAGTAATCATAAGAAAAATTGCACACTACTCTTCTGCTCATGCTTTTCTTTCCCCTGCTAACTAATCTTCATAGTGTCATCTATCTGCTATTGCTTTTCTCCATACTCTTATCCAACTTCTCTAAAAGTAACTTGTTTATTGCAGCAATGCGTTATGTTCATAATTTTGTCTCAAGACTCTGCCTAACCTAGATTCAAGGACTGATTTTTTCCTAAACCAGAGGTGTTTTCAGGTGCTGAATAGAGAGGAGCATAGTTCAGAGTGTTTTTGAGTTAGTGCCTCCATTTGAAATTTTTGAGCTTCTTCAATCTATTTTTCCAACAATTAGTCTAGTTTTCCATCTTATTTTGCATGTTGAGTCAAGGACAGCAGCAGGCAAAAGCCATTTGCAGGTTGATTGAATCCTAAGGAAGACGAGTTTAAACCCATTTCATATTTTAGGGATCAGCCTCTTCTCCCAGGTAACTAGTGATAGGATGAGACGTGATGGCCTCAAGTTGCACCAGGAGAAGTTCAGGTTGGATATTAGGGAGAATTTCTTCTCAGAAAGAGTGGTCAGGAACTGGAACAAGCTGCACAGGGAGGTGATGGAGTCATTGACCCTAGAGGTGTTCAAGAAATGTGTAGATGTGGCTCTGAGGGATGTGGTTAATGAGCTTGGTGGGGATGGGTTGGTGACAGGACAAGATGATCTTAGAGGTCTTCAACTTCTCACTTTTGATTGAATAGTTTTATTCTTTTAGCACTAGAGTTGCACCATGGGCAAGAACTGCTGCATGCTAGCAGCTTTTAAAAGTCATTTTTCTCGATGTCCTGAGCAAAACTGCTTATCTGCATGTCTGGTATATGTATTGATCTTACAGACTGTGCCCTGCCAGGTGGGTAATAAATGCTCAGCTGTGACAGTTGTGAAAGTCTGTCAGCCAGACCAGCCCTACAGTTATCTCTGGCGTAATGATGGGGAAAGGATTAGGGAGCAGACAAGTAATGCTTACCCTTTTAAAAACAATTAAATAATTTATTTTGTATGTAAAAAGGCTATTAAGAGATGAATCCTTTTCCACTTGCCACTAAAATATTTATGGTACAAGCACTGGAATTCTACAGTCAGCAGATGAAGTCTCCAATCCAAGTTGTTACTGCTGGGTTTATTAATTTTAATTAATGATGCACTTATATCCTCTGTGCTTCCAGTTCATTTTCTACTGTCTGCTGCTTTCATGGAAAGTGTTATCTAACAGTGAATGAACTACAAAAAGAAGAGATTTCCCCCTTCTGTTTATCTCTGTTTACAGGGTTTTGTTTAAAAAGTTTCTCCAGCCACCTCAGCTAAAATGAGACCATCAATTTCTCAAAGTGCATGAAAGCCTGACAAAACCTGGAGAAATAAATCCGAGGCATTCACCCTTTTGACAAGTTGCCAGAGCCCTCAGGACTTGGGCATCTTTTCTGCCCTTGTTGTCATGTGCAAAACACGAGGATTTACGCTGTGCTAATCCCTCTAATGAGGGCTTCTCCCAACCTCTACATAAACCCTGCTTAAAGCTGTGGCTGTAGGGCAGGCACTGCAGAGCCAAAACTCTGTCTTTTAAATGGCATTCAAGGCAATTAGAGACCAGGATTAAACAAACACCCGACACCAGCATCCTCAGCAGTGAGAGGGATTATCCCAGGGGAGCTGCTGCCAGAACCAGGTTGTCCCACAAAGGAGATCTCCGTGCTCCACTCACTTGGGTCTGGTGGAGAGGCTGCACACAGCAATGGGTGCCCTGAGGTGGCTTTTTTGGGTTGTGCTGAGCTACCTGAGCTGCTGTAGTCTTCCCTGGGCAGAGGCACAGTTCCCCCGTGTCTGCATGACGGTGGAGGCCATTCGGTCGAAGCGCTGTTGCCCAGCCTTGGGGCCAGATCCAGGCAACGTGTGTGGGTCCCTGCAGGGCAGGGGATGGTGCCAGGGTGTGCAGGTGGACACCCAGCCTTGGAGCGGTCCCTACACCCTTCGAAATGTGGATGACCGGGAAAAGTGGCCCCTCAAGTTCTTCAACCAGAGCTGTTGGTGCACAGGTGAGAGGGGGTGCGGGTGGAGGGGATGGGGAAGAATGTATCTGTGAGCATTTCTCTGAAGGCCATAAATGTCCCAGGTGGTGTGAGGCATCAAGGAGCCATCGAACGGACTAGAAAACAGGATGTGAGGAGTGGCTGAAGGTACTGGCATTGTTTAGTCTGGAGAAAAGAAGTCTGAGGGAAGACCTCATCCTCCAGCTGCCTGAAAGGAGGTTGTAGCAAAGGACAGAGTCAATCTCTTTCCTCAGGGTGCAAATGATAGGTTGGGAGGTAATGGCTTCATGTTGTACCAGGGGAGGTTTAGATTGGATATCAGGGAGAATTTCTTCACAGAAAGGGTGCCCAGGGAAATGATGGAGTCCCCACCCCTGAAGAGATTTGTGGACATGGCATTTAGGGACATGGCTTAGTGGCAGACTTGGTAATGTTTGATGATGATGGTCTTGAGAATCTTTTTCAACTTCAGTTATCCCATGACTCTAAGAGGACTTCTAATATTATCATTTTCCTAAAAATACGATAATGCTTATTGCTAAGACATGATAGTTCCTGTATGGGGGCTCCAGAGCAAGAACTGTAAAGGCATTTTGCCTCATGCAATCTTTTGGGCACTGAAGTTTTCCACTAGTCCCTCATCACCTTTTTCCACGGAGTTTTGGATAGTTCAGTGCTGTGTTCCAAACTGATTTCTTGGGTCTATATGACTGCCAAAGAGGCTACTCTGTCTTTTCCCTCTCTTCCTCTTGTTCCACACATGACTTTACACAGGCCTTTGTCTTCATGTTTTGGGAGGCAAAATGGATCAGGAAGCTGATGTGTTTGAAGGGTAACCTGGCCCAAAGAACCATTGTTTTCTAAGACTAGTTCACTAGTACTGGCATCAAGGAAGGAATAGGAAGGAGAAGTCAGTGTAGGCTAAGGAGACAGATCCTTATTTGAAGTGCAGCCCTTGTTTAAGGAGGGTTAAAATCAACAGGAACCCAGATTACGCTCAGACTCTTTGCAAGGCTGGGAGGGCATGGTGTAGGGAGTCAGGCAAAAGGCATGTCTCTAGCACTGAAGGTGCCTGTTAGATGGATTTCAAAAGCACCTTGGGATTTCTTGTTGGAAATATAAAGTGGTTTGAAGTCCTCAGCATGGGGAAAAACACCCTTCTTTCCTTCAACCTAATTTTTAGAAATAGCAGACCTATTTTGTCTAAAATGTATCTTGGCTCTCACTATCAGAAAAAAAAAAAAAAAAAAAGCTGTAATCAATCTGAGAAAGATATAACATAAGATTTTAGCCCATGAGATTAAATTTAGCAATTCTGTGATGAACTCAAAGCAGACAGGTGGTGGCAGATGACTTACATACCTCCAAAACTAAAGTCAGGCATCACATATGGACACAGACTCTGAGTTAGAAGAGCACTAAAGCATGCTGGCATACACTAATATTTACACAGTCTGAGTAATTAGGGCATCAAAACCTGGGATTAAGGTGGGGAGAAGGGTGGGCAATCATTGATTTGTTTGTCCAAATAAAAGCAAGCAGCAGTATTTAATATTTGCTGGGCTGAGTCTTAGGTGATGTGATTATAATGCTGTGTAGCCTCACACTCCTTGTCTATGCTGATCTGTCAGCTCTCATCAGCTCTATAAATCTAGTTTCTCTTTGTGCTTCTACTCTGCGGGTTTATTTTTATTTTTTTTCTCATCTGTTTGTTTTTAAAATTTTGTTTGTTGTACTCCTCTTTCTCCTTATAGTCTTGGTTCTCTAGTTCTACCAGCAGTAAAACATTAGACTGGTAGCCATAGGATGATTTTAAGAAAGGTTTCCTGGGTTCTGTTCTGCTGTGCTCAGCTCGATGCTGTATGGAAAGGCATTTCTAGTATAATGCTAAACAGTTCATAATTGCATGGTATTTGACTTTGATTTGATGTATTTATAATGGCAGTGATTGTGGTTCTGTATCTATTAGATTTTCCTTGTCTTCTTTTTTCTCTGTTTTACATGAGTTTGTCTGCACACCAGTTTTAAGTGCTGCAATGTGTGTTCTTCATTAAGCATCCACAGCTGTGCTGCCTATGACTGTAAATTAAATATGTTCGTTCAAAGGGAGATGGAACAGTGCTGTACTATTAAAGGTTCTTATTTTCCAAATTAACTTCTAGTGCAAACCACCTATCTGAATGGTTTCTGGCCAGTGCAAACTCCAGTCTATTCCAGTGCTCTTTCTAAAGTTTAATGATATGAACAGATGTGTGCCAGTGCCATCTTGGCATTGCCTAATTCGTTGTGCAGGTGTGGCATAAACATCAGTCACAGGAACTCCAGCTTCTGTGTAGCTGATGAGTTAGACAGTGCCATTGAACTGTGCCACACTGCTGACGAATAGTATTTTCCATAAAGGGATTCCAGATCTTGTGGGAAGTGCTCAGTTTGAGTTATCTGCTAGAAACTTAATAGCTAAAGATAAAAGGATTGCTGAAAATTTGGCCGTATGTTGAAGAAAAATCTGAGAATAATATCCATCTAGGTCTGGCTACTGAACATTTCTGAAAGAAAAAAGGAAAATCCCAAACACAAACTAATATTAATATTTGGTAGTTATTGTTTTATTGATTATTTTTATAGTTTTCCCATGTTAATTTAATTTTCATATGGAAAAGAAAAAAAAAGCATTTCCTTTCAATTTCTTGGCTTTAACAGAAAATATGCATTAGTCCTTCCTCCACCGGGGACAAATGCAACAGAATAAGATTAGAAAAACAGAAAGATCCAGTTTTATTTCCTTTTTTTTTTTTTTTTTTTAAATGAAGAGTCATGATCAAAAAGACAATTGCAAGGCTGTTGTCAGCTGCTTGCTGTATGTTCCTAGCAATGTATTGCTGATGACATCATCTCTAGGAAAAAGCTGTGGTTATGGCATGAATGTTGCTGGGAGGTAACAACAGATGTTCAGTTCCTGTCTAATTTCAAATTGAATCTATTGTATGCGTTCTGAAATTCATTTAATGGCACCTAAAATTAATTCAGTTTATATAAATTCTTAAACTGAAATGATGTAATGACAGGTCTTGACTGTGCAGTAGTGTGTGAAGGGGAATATGATCGTTCGTTGTACTCAACACATATAAGCTGTGAGTGTTGAATTGGGCAAAACATTGAATGTCCTGTTCTAATTAACTCTGAAAATGGACATTTATAGCTAATTACACAAAAAAGCAGTTCTGCAATAGGATAGTTAAATTTGGTTCAGAAGAGTACTATTGTGGAAGATTTATGAACTAAGTGCTATTTTAAGTTCTAAAGGATGAAACTGTAGTGTATGGATCTGGTACAGCATTATAAAAAGCCCCCTACAGAAGTGAAAACATTACTGCAGTCAGTCATGTGGTTGTTAGTACAGGACATGATGTTGATGCACTGAGGGATGCATCTTGAACTTTTTATTCAATAGCAAATTCACATGTTGTTTCCCTGTGGACTGCCGTTTTGACTCTGTCTTATAGTGGTAACACCATGTCTTGTCACTGCTAATGATGCAATCTAGGAAACCGTCACCTTTAGCCTTGTACTGGTTCACTAGGACCTGACAAACTTGCAAATGGTGTTCTTTCTGTCCTTGTGTGAGCATTTGTGGGACCCAACTGGCACAAACTTTGCAAGATTGCAGTGTTACCACCATTGTTTCTAGTGCACTGAGATACTTAGTGCACTGATATTCCGCTCCATACAGTTCCCTGGTCCTAATCCACTGATTCAAGTGGATGAGCTGATTGAGACACTGTTCATTTTATGGTGTGACAACTGTGCATAGCCATCCAGAATGTGGCTTGTCTTTCATGTCACAGTCACCACTGCTGAAACGCACCACTTACTGCCTCACTGTGCCCATTGCCACTGTTTGATCTCCATAACCATTCAGCAAGCATTCTTAAATGTCAGTGGATGTCATTTTTCCCTCATGGAGGAATTCAGTGACAGCCCTTTGCTTCATACATACTTCCATGTCAAATGCCATTTTGTCAGACTACCTCTCTGCTACCATCTGTCACAGGGCAACAAAATGTAATGGAACACTGGTGAGAAGGTTTAACCTCTACTGTCATACCATCAACATCCACTTCTATGTCATGGGCCAACAGAATAAAATAGGAGGCATTATTTTCAAGGTAGCCCTGACGTAACAGGCCCTGTTAGCGTCTGTAGTAAGTACAGATCTTCCATAATCCACAATCAAAATGTTTGTCTGAAATAAATGCAGGAAGAGCTAAAAGAATTAACAATTTTTTCTTATATGGTAGGAATCCTGATCCTATCTTTGAGATACTGAAATATGGTGGTTTTTCAAATTTATTGTATTTATTATTACTGTGGAAGTAACAGTCATGACAGCTGCTTGGGTTTCAAGGAATTCTAGAATCATTTGGACTGGAAAAGATCTTCAAGATCATCAAGTCCATCCATCAACCCAATGTACTGATCCCATGGCTATACCATGTCCTTTAGTGCCATGTCCACACATCTTTTAAATACCTCCAGGGTGGAGACTACCATTTTCCTGGGCAGCCTGTTGTAGTGCTTCATGACCCACTCTGTGAAGAAGTTATTCCTGATGCCTTATCTAAACCTCTTGTGGTGGAAATAAAGGCTATTTCCTTACATCCTATCATTTGTAACCTAAAAAAGAGTCTAACACTCTCTTTGATGCAACCTCCTTTCAGTTAGTTGTAGAGAGTGATGAGATGTCTCCTTAGCTTCCTTTTCTTCCAGACTAAACAATGCTAGTTCCCTCAGCTAATCCTCAGGAACTATTGTTTTCTGGTTCCTTCTCCACCTTCTTTGCTCTTCTCTGCACATACTCCAGTAACTCAATATGCTTCCAGTAGCAAGGAGCTCAAAACTGAACACAATATTCAAGGTTCCATCTCACCAGAGGCATGTACAAAGTTTTCAAAAGAAGGTAGAAAATGGTCAGTGTTAGGTGGGTTCATTATACCAAAGAAGATACACTGAGCTGATGAAATTACTAACTTATTTTACTTTTGATGAGTTACTCTCATGTCTGAAGGCCAACCGCATGCTCTAGGTAGAAGAGTCTCTGTGAGCTCCTGCAAATACTGAGGTTAAGAAGGAGCTACAGTGGTGCGTGATAAATAGTGTTACCATACACCAGCAATGTGTAAGAACATACACCAAATATTATGTCATAGAAAGTGTCATTTTCGCAGTGTCGTGCCCATGGATTGACTCAGTGGAAGAAGTAGCAAGTACATAGTGCCTTCAGAAACAGCCAGATGCACCCAATTTGACCAGGAAGAGCATCATTACTAATGGTGAGAATAGACACAGAAAAGCTCCTGAGGTATGTGAACCTATCTCCAGATAAAAGAGTTAGTGGAAAAGACACTCCAAATTAATTTTTGTTCAGCAGCAGTGCAATTGTCATTCCCAGCAGCAGTGAACATGCAAGGAATATCTGAACCCAGCTGTGGCATGATCTATTTACAAGAACAACCTTCCACACTATATTGTCTGGGAACCCTAAGAGGTGAAAATTACATCAAGTTATCTTGAGGATAGTTTCAGAGATGTAGTACCCTGAATTGCTACATATTAGTCACTAAAGGCAGAAGATATACAAAAGGATCTTGGAAGGATGTCTCTGTCTTCCTGAAAATGTCTGTTGTGTGCTACATCCTGATAATATGGACTTACTTCTCCTATTCCCTAAGGGCTATATCACTGAGGTCCACCATTGCCAGAGTAGCAGACACTGGAATTAAATTGTGATAAACTGACATATACATTTCACAGTGCTATCATGTGGGAAGTCCACAATATAAGGAAGTTTTTGAAGACAGCTATGCATTATATCCACACCACTGGCCCAGTAGAATGTTTTAGAAACAAATACTGGAAAAATGCTTTGGCTTAAACATAAAAAACCTGCGTCTGTCTACTGCAGTCATTTGTATTTGCAAAATGGGAAACACTGCAGACCTCCGTCCACTTCTTGCCACTTCAGCTGTTGCATGGTGATAGTTCCATGATACCTGGAGATTGCTGAAAGAAAATGACAAAAAGCATCTTTTGATTTCATGAAGTATTGTTGTGTGCATTTCTGATTAGACAATATTGTCAAACAGACATGTGAACATTAAAAATACATCTGACACATTCAACAGAAATAGTGCAGAATGAAATACTTCTTTGCCTGGAGTTAGATTCCAACCTCTTCTAGTCTTCAGTCCTCTTTCTTGCACAGTAAAAGCTCATGTCTCATTGAAAAAAGTCTGGTAAAGTGGTGGAAAAAAAGACCCCTGGGATTACATTATCGATCTGACTGTTGAGGGAGAAAATCCCACAGGGCACCAACTGGATATAATTAACACCTGTGTGAGGACAACGGGCAAGGAATCATTGGTTCACTTAACTACAGAAACCTTGCCTATAGAGAAAAGCTTCTTTTTCGTGAAGATGACTCATCATTTCAGGCTTTTGCAAATCTCTTTTCATAGTCCAAAGAGGTGCATAGAGTATACCTAAATGTGGCTGTTTAGAGAAAAAGGATGCTGAGAGATGACTAGGACAAACCTGGTCCTGTGCTAATTTTGTTTCTGTTAGTGCATCACTTCAAGGATGCACACAAACAATTCAACATGATGCTTATCCAATGCTGCAAGTAGATGAAAGTGTGACTGCTGATCTCAAAAAAGGTTGTTGACAGAATTTGTCATTGGTTAACTCCTACTTTGCCATTCTGCTCTTAAAAAGGATTAAGTTGTATGTGAGGGACAACAGCTACAACTGCTTGTTTTTTTCTGACATAAGCCATCAGCCCCCTAAAATGATGCAGACCCTTAGCTGCTGATTTCTTCTTTGCTTGCTGGATCATGACAACTGAGTCCAGCTGCTCCTACCTGCTCTGGGGAGGAATCTAAGCAATATACTTGGAAACTGTCTTTCTGATATGCCACTGGGTTTTGTATGATCCAAAACCTGGTTAAAGATCTTCACCCTCATGGTCCCTAAGATGGACTTGAGCTTCATGATAACCTATTGATCTTGCCTCTGGAGTAACCATAAGCTCTCTGAACCTGCAGTTAAATTCTCATGACCTCTTGATAGGACTCACAGGAATCTGTCACATATGTTTACAGCTCAACATCCCTTACCCTAGAGCTAGCCACAAGCTATATAGCCTTCTGAGTAACATCCCTCATAATCTTGGCAGTCTTTGAAATTGGTATTAGGCCTTATAGGCCCTGTCAATCTAAAATCCTACTTTTGTGTTTTCTGTTGTTTTGCTCACAGACACAAGCCTGTTGCCTAGGGACATCTTGCTCCTCCAGGAGCTTTTCACAAGCCATTTCTCCATTTCTGTATTAACCCCAAGCCCATTTGGATCTGTCTGCACAGATACGTGGGGGGAGCAGTGAGGTTTTATGGCATTTTGATAGAGAGTTGATATAGTCATAGAGGAGCATGTATGTGTAGCTGAGGTTGGAGAGAGTTTCAGTGCACTTTTGGAGAACTTTTTTTTTTGGAGTTTCAGTGAACTTTTGGAGAAGAGATCCCTGGTTGTCTCCTCACACCCTCCTTCCCCCTAGCATCAATGCTCACTGTCCCACACTGATGCTTTGCAGTCTGCACTCCTGTGCATGGGACGGAGACAGATATGAACTGCTGGAATGACTGTCCCCCTCTCCTCCAGCCAAAGCAAAGGGAGCTTCAGCAGAGCCATTCTGCTGCTTCTGGCACTCTGCCATGGTGGGCAGAGGGCCACAGAATCTGTGCTTTGCTTAAAGTAAGCTCTATTTCCTCGGGATCTTCCATCGCTTTAGAGGATCCAAGTTAATAGAGGAGAGCAGAGCTGATTACTTGCCTAAGGAGTGATGCCAGTGGGGAATGATGGTTTTGCACTATTTCTCAGGCTCCTTTTTCAGCACTATTTAATTCTTAATATTCCTAAAGTGTGACTAGCAACACCCCCAGTACCTCTACTGGACTGTGCTAATTCCTGGATACACTGCTAACAGACATTAGCTTTTCCTAGGCTTTGTCCTTAAGAGAACTGTTTTGATTGTTAGTGGACTTTTTTTTTTTTTTCCTTTTTCTTTTTTTTTTTTTTTTGAGTTTGATCCTGGAAGTCTGGGAACACTTGAGAGCCAATCAAGCAAAGCATTTAATCACCTGCTTAACCTGGAGTGCTTAGCCCTCTGTTCATCTAGAGGCTTAGACTCCTCACATGCCTGAAGGCTTCATGGAGATCTTAGCGCCTTGGGGCATCAAGCCCATTATCCAGTGCATTTCCTCCCCAACCAGCTGAGTGATTCTTGGCCCTGACCCTGCTCTGGGATGCAAGCCATCCTTCTAGTTAACCAGCTGGCAGCTGCCAGTCTGTTCAGTTGCTGCCCCTTCCAGGAACTGAAATGTCTGGGGAAAATGAAAGATAATTCGCAATTCTTCTGCATTTCAATGGTAGTTTTCTCTGATTCACAATTTCATGTCTTTTCTCTCTCTTCATTCAGGCAACTTTGCTGGCTATAACTGCGGTGACTGCAAGTTTGGTTGGACTGGCCCTGACTGCAGTGTGAGGAAGCCACCAGTTGTCAGGAAAAACATCCATTCCTTGACAGCAGAGGAGAGGGAGCAATTCTTTGATGCTCTAGACCGTGCAAAGTCTACCATCCACCCAGACTATGTGATTGCAACTCAGCACTGGATGAGTTTGCTTGGCCCCACCGGAGAGGAACCACAAATTGCCAACTGTAGCATTTATAATTACTTTGTTTGGCTTCATTACTACTCTGTCAGAGACACGCTCCTAGGTTAGTGCTTTTCTTGTCCAATGAGCTTTGTTGGTAAATGAAAGGGTGAAAAGTATCATTGCTGAACAATGTAAGTATGCTTATCACAGCTGCATTACTACAACAAGCAGTGAAGGGTGGTTGGGAACAGGAATGGGCTGCCCAGAGAGGTGGT